AGGGACATGGTTTAGTGGGCATGGTGGGGTTGGGTTGACGGTTAGAATCAATGATCTTAGAGGTCTTTTCCAACCTTAATGATTCTATGATTCTATGAATATGAAGATGAAAAAATGTCAAGAGGCCTGTGTGGATGAACAAGGGGCTCCTGGCCAAACTCTAATACCAAAATGAAGCTTACAGAGGGTGGAAACAAGGACAGGTAACCTGGTAGAAACACGGAAACATTGTCCGAGCATCCAGGGACAAAGTCAGGAAAGCTAAAGCCCAAATGGAATTGAATCTGGCCAGGGATGTCAAAGACAGCAAGAGCTTAAGTACACAGGAGACAAGAAGCAGATGAGGGAAATGTGGGCCCATTGCTCAGTGAGACAGGGGACCTGGTTACACAGGACATGGAAAAAGCTGAGCTACTAAATGCTGCCTTTGCCTCAGTCTTTACTAGCAAGACCAGCCTTCAGGAATCCCAGGTACCTGAGACCAGGGGGAAAGGCTGGAGCAAGGAAGATATACACTTGGTGGAAGAGGATCAGGTCAGGAATACTTAAGCAAACTGGACATACATAAGTCCAAAGGCCCTGATGGGATGCACCCACAAGTGCTGAGGAAACTGTCTGATGTCATTGTGTGGCCACTCTTGATAATCTTTGATCTATCCTGGTGACTGGGAGAAGTGCCTGAAGCCTGCACTAAAGCAGATGTTACTCCTATCTTCAAGAAGGGCAAGGAGGAGGACCCAGGGAACTATGAGATCATCCGCCCCACCTTGATCCCTGGGAAGGTGATGCAGCAGCTAATCCTGGAAATCATTTCCAGGCACACGAATGACAAAAAAGTATCATCAGGAGTAGCCAGCATGGCTTTGCTAAGGGGACATCATGCTTGACCAACTTGATAAACTTCTACAACAAAATGACTGGCATGGTAGATGAGGGAAAAGCAGTGGATATTGTCTACCTGGACTTCAGTAAGGCTGGAGAAATGGCAGGAACCTCATGAAGTTACAACAAGGACAAGTGATATGTCCTGCAGCCAGGGAGGAACAACCCTATGCACCAATATATGCTGGGGGCCACCCAGCTGGAAAGCAGCTTGGCAGAATAGGCCCCGGGCGGTCCTGGTGGACACCAGGTTGACTGTGAACCAGCAATGTGTCCTTGCTGCAAAGAATGCAGATGGTATCCTGGGCTGCATTAGGCAAAGTATTGCCAGCAGGGCAAGGGAGGTGATCCTTCCCTTCTCTCTACTCAGCACTGGTGAGGCCACACCTGGCGTGCAGTGTCCAGTTCTGGGCTCCCCAGTACAAGAGAGGCATGAACACACTGTAGGCTAGCCAACAAAGGGCCACGGAGATGATGAATGGACTGGAGCACCTCACTTATGAGGAAAGGCTGAGAGAGCTGGAACCGTTTAGCCTTGAGAAGAGAAGGTTCAGAGGGGGATCTTATTAATGTATTTAAATACTTGAAAAGAGAGTGCAAAGAGGACGGAGCCAGGCTCTTTTCAGTGGTGCCCAGTGACAGAACAAGAGGCAATGGGCACAAACTGAAACACAGGAGGTTCCCTCTCAACATTAGGAAACACTTCTTCACTCTGAGGGTGACTAAGCACTGGCACAAGTTACCCAGAGAAGTTGTGGGGTCTCCATCCTTAGAGATATTCAAAAGCTGCCTGGACATGGTCATGGGAAACTGGCTTTAGGTGGCCCTGGTTGAGCATGGAGGTTGGACAAGATGGTCCCCAGAGGTCCTATCCAACCTCAACCATTCTGTGATTCTGAGGTAAATGAACAAGAAAATGAGGAGGAAGTGGAGGAACAAGTGGAGGAAAAAGGATAGGAGGATAAAAAGCCAGGATGAGGTAAAGAAAAAAGAAGCAGAGGAGAAATAGGAACATGAGGAACAAGAGGAAAAGGAGGTGGAGCGCAAGGGAAAAAAAAACCCCAAACCCCAAGATTTAAAAAAGGAGGAGAAAGAGGAATATAAAATACAGGAACAGGAGGAGGAAGAAAAGGGGGAACAAGAGGACCACAGACAAGAGGAACAGGAGGAGTAACCAGAATAACTTGAGGAAAAGGGAGAAAGAGGAGGAAGAGGAGGAAGAGGAGGAGGAAGATAAAAAATATGGCAGAACAGGAGGAAGATGAGGAGGAGCAGGAGGAAGAACAGGAATAAGAGTAGGAAGATATAAAGGAAGAAAAGGAGGATGAGGAGAAGGAACAAGACAAAGAAGAACAAGATGAAGAAGAGGAAAAGAAGGAGGAAGAGGACTTGGACAAAAATGAACCGCAACAGCAGGAGGATAAACAGGGGGAACAGCAGGAAGTGGAGGACAAAGAACAGGAACATGAGCAGGAAGAACAGGAGAAGGACCTGGAGGAAAGAAGGAGGAACAAGAGGAAGCCATGTAGAAAAATGGAAGAGGAACAGTAGGAGAACAAAAAGGGAGAAGGAACTGGAGGTGGAAGAGGAGAGAGGAAAAAAGAAAGGAAAAGGATGAGCAAGAGAATGGGGAAGAGGAGGAACAGTTTGAAGAGGAGGCAAAAAAAAAGAAGGAACAGGAAGAGGAGCAAGAGGAGAAAAAGGACAAGAAAAAGAAGGAATATGAACAAGAATAGGAGGAGGAGGTGGAGAATATGTTGAGGAAAAGAAAATAAGGCAGGAAAGCAGGAAGAGGAAAAAGAGGAAAAGGAGGAAGAAGAGAAGTAAGAGGACAATGATGAGGACAAGGAAGAACGGTAAGACAAACAGGAGGAAGAAACAGAAGGAGGAGGATTTTAAAAAGGAGGAAAAAGATACGGAGAAGGAAGGCAGGGGGAGACAGCTGGCCTAACCAGAGGAAATACAGCAAAAGGAGGAAGAGGAGGAACAGGAAGATGATGAACAGGAGGAATGGGAGGAACAGGAGGAGAAGAGGAGGAACAGAAGGAGCACGATAGACCAGGACAAAGAAAAAAGGAACAGGAAGAGGAAGAGTTGGAGGAAAAGAAAGAGGAGGAGGAAAAAAAGAGAGGAGGATGAGGAAAAGGGAGAGGAGGAGGAGAAGGAAGAGGAGGAGGAGGAGGAAGAGGAGAAGGAATAGGAGGAAAAGAAGCAGGAGGAGGAGGAAGAAGAACAGAAGGAACAGTAGGAACAGGAGGAGGGGGAGTTTGAAAAAATGGCAGAGGAAAAGAAGGAGGAGGAGGAGAAGGAGAAAGAAAAGGAGGAAGATGAGCAGGAGAAGGACGCAGAATAGGAGAAAGAACAAGAGGAGGACAATGATGAACAGGAGGAGAATAAACAAAAGTACGAGGAGGAAGAGCAGGAGGAAGAAGAACCAGAGGAATAAGAGCAGGAAGAAGTGAAAGACAAGGAGTATGGGGAAGCACAGGAGGAATAAGAAGATGATGATGGAGGAGGAGGAGGAGGAGAAGGATGAAAAGGAGGAAGAGAAAGAGGATGAAGAGCAAGAGCAACAGGAGGAGGAAGAGGAAGCTGAGGAAGACAATAAGGAGGAGGAACAGAAGGAGATGGAGGAGAAAAAACAGGAAGAGGAAGAACAGGAGGAGGAACAGGAGAAAGAGGAGAAACAGGAAGGGGAACAAGAGGAACAGGAAGACGAAGAGTTGGAGGAACAGGTTGAGGAGAAGTAGGAAGAGGAACATGGCAAGGAGGGGAAGGAGGAAGAGGAAGAGGAGGAACAGGAGGTGGAGAAAGATGAACAAGAGTAGAAGGAGGGGCAGGAGGAAAAAATGTTAAAGCAGGAGGAAAAGGATAAAGAAGAGGAGGAGGAAGAGGAGAAGAAAGACGAGGAAGAAGAACATGATGAATAAGAAAAACAGAAGGAACAGAAGGAGGAGGAACAGGAAGGAGAACAGGAAGAACAGGAAGAGGACCAAGAGGAACAGGAGGAAGAAGATTGGAAGAAAAGGAGGATGAGGAGGATAAGGAAGAGGATAAGGAAAAGGAAGAACAGGAGGAACAGGAGGTGAAGAAGGAGAAGGAACAAGAGGAGAAAAAGGAGGAAAAGGAGGAGGAGGAAACGGAGGAAGAGGAGGAGCAGAAAAAGAGGAGAAGGAGGAGACGAAAGGGGAAAAGAAGGAGGAGGTGTAAGAAGAAGAGTTAAAAAAAAGGAGTAGGAGGAAGAACAGGAGGAGAGACAAGAGGAACAGGAAGAACAGATAGAGGAGGAATAAGAACAGGACGAGGAGAAGGAGAGGGGGAGGAAGAAGGTAAAGAGGAGAAGGAGGAGACAAGAGGAGGAGGAAGAGGAATAAAAGGAGTAGTAACTCGAGGAACCAGTGGAAACAGAAGGAGGAAAAGGAGGCAGAAGAACAGAAGGAACAGGAGGAACAGGAAAAGAAGGCAGAAGAGGAGGAGAAGAAGCATAAAGAGGAAGAAGAGAAGGAGAAGGAAAGACAGAAGGAAAAGGAAGAACAAGATGAGAAGGAGAAGGAAAAAAGAGGAAGAGGAGGAGGTAGAACAGAAGTAATAGGAAGACCAGGACAAGGAAGATGAAGAGAAACAAGACCATGAGGAGGACAACGAAAAAAAAAGGTGGAAGAGGAAGAACAGAAGGAGGATAAGGAGGAGGAGGAACACAAGGAAGAGGACAAAGAACAAGAGGGAAAAAAAGAAGAAGAGGAAGAACATGAAGAGGAGGAGGAGGAAAAAGAAGAGGAGGAGGAGCAGGCTGAACAGGAGGAGGAACAAAAAGAACAAAAGGAGGAAGAAAAAGGGGGAGGAATAAAAAGAGAAGGAGGAGGAGAAGGAAAAGCAAGAGCATGATGAGGAAAAGGAGGTGGAGAATGAGGAAAAAAAGGAGGAAGAGGAGGAAGAACAGGAAGAACTGGAGCAATGGGGAGGAGGAGCAGGAGCAGGAGGAAGAGGAAAAGAAAGAAATAGAGGAGAAAGAGGAGGGGAGGAGGAAGAACAGGAGGAGGAGGAGGAGGAAAAGAAGGAGGAACAGGAGGAGAGGGAGAAAATCACGGAGGAAGAAGAGCAGGAGGAGGAGGAATAAGAACAGAAGGAACAGGTGGAGAAGGAGGAAGAACAGCAGGAGGAGGTGGAAGAACAGGATGAAGTACCAGAGAAGGAAGAACAGGAGGAAGAAAATGAGGAGGTGGAAAATGAAAAACAGGAGGAAGAAGACAACAATAGAGAATTAGTAGAATCATAGAATCATGGAATTATTTAGGTTGCCAGAGGCCCTTAAGATCATTGAGTCCAACCGTTAACCTAAAACTACCAAGTCCACTGCTAAACCATGTCCCTAAGCGCCACGTCTACACGTCTTTTAAATACTTCCAGGGATGGTGACTCAATCCCTTCCCTGG